ATATGGCCAGCTGGATTCGCAGGCTGCTGATGGAGAAGTTGTGAGTCCCGCTGCCACGTCCGAGGAGGATTCCGGCACCCGACCTATCATCATCGAGATGGATATCGAGTCCGAGGGAGGGGAGCCGATGGACTGGGAGTCCGACATCGAGCCGGAGCTAGAGCCCATGGAGCAAGAGTTGGAGCCGGAGGATGATTCCGGGGAAGAGTCAGTGGTCGTCGAGTCTGAGCCGGATTCGATGGATTCAGCTTGCGGACTTCATAGGAGAAATATGTGAAGTCAAAGGTATGTTCATTGCAAACTTAACTGTTGGGTCAAAGACGTTCCTTTTTTGTCGTCGAAGCTCATGGATCATATAGTTTGCTATTAGAAAGAGATTTGATTTAGGTAATCAATGTGTACAAAATTGACAAATTATCAAAATGTTTAGAATGACACAATTGAAAAGTTTAAGACTAAATTGGCAAATCGTCAAAAGATTTAGGATAAAATTGACATAATTGAAAAGTTTAGGACTGAATTGGTTATCATATAATAGCTTTAGGACTTTTTGGACGACTTTGCCGATCAACTGGAATGGGAGATCAAGCACAAGAAGACAGACCAAGAGGGATGTCGGTTTGGCCCTTTTTATTTTGACCTAATTGTTCGACAACCACCACCTCCATCACCATCTCGTCCCGTTCTTACTAGTTTTCCCTTGGGCCATCTCTTCTCTGCGCTAGAGCCGGAACCAATCCCACTTGGAGATGAAGCTAGTTCATAGATTGATAGTCTTATGATCTGTTTTGTCTTTTGATGTACACGGTTTAAATTTTCCTCACTATCCCATAAATGATGTTGTGCTACAGTTGTCATGTAGGTGTGGAGGATTTCTAAGTTGAATGAATGTTGTGTCGAATTTCCTCAACATGCTTGTCCTAAGTAAGGTAATCAAATTATACGTTAGATCACCCTTCAATGAATATAGATGGCTCAACTTATTTATAAGGCAAGCGTTAAGTTTCATTACGAAGAGAGGAACCAAGCATAGCAAGTGACGCGACAATTAATGTGCTACTTGTCCGAAATAATTACTGTTGTGACTTACTAAAAGTTGGCTCCAGTTGGAATCATTTTGATAGATTTAGGGATAAGATCAAGAAAAATTTCAAACTAGTATACCTGTTACAAATTTACTCCGAACTAATTTTTTGACCACCAAAAATCCTAAATTGATACACTTGTGATAAATTTACTTGCAACTAATTTTTTGACCACAAAAAATCCCAAATTGATACACTTGTGACAAATTTACCTTCCGTTAAATTGGATTAATACAATAAAAAATCACAAATTGGCAAACTTGTGACAAACGGAGGGGTAAAACCCCAAACCGATACACTCGTCAACTGCCACGTGTCATCCAAGTCATCAATTTGATGGTAAAATTTAATGGTAACTAACAGAGGGTAAATTTGTCACTGGTGTACTAATTTGAGATTTTTTTGTAGTCAAAAAATTAGTTTAAGGTAAATTTGTTACATGTGTATCAATTTATGATTTTTCAACTATCGGAGTTGGCCATGCCCAAAGTCGTTATGGGACTTTTTGTGAAGCGATAGCGCATTTAGACCAAAATGCCAGCCACTAGAAGTCAAAGATCATTACGTCGACATTAGCGAAATATTGAAGTCGGATACATTTTTGTGAAAGCCGGCCGTGTCTAGCCTTTCGAATGTAATTACTTTATTTTTATTAAACTATGGTGCTTGACCAAAAATTACTATTATATTTTATGGTTAGAAGAACAATAGTTCTAGTCGGGATATAATTATATCGGTATTTACAAAGGGCGCCCATCAAAATTTCCTCTTTAACTCTCTGTCGTACATTTTGTGCCTATATGATAACCTCAGAAATTGATCACATGTATAATCATGAATTTTAAACCTTCATTTCGCGAAATGGAAAAAAAAATTATTTAATAATACCCTTTATTTAAAAAGGTTAATACCACAAAAAATCCATAACTGGTACACCTATAAAAAACCCTAAACTGGTACACCTGTGACAAATTTATCCTCCCTTAGTCTCCGTTAAATTTTACTGTCAAATTGCTGATTTTGATAACACGTGATAGTTGACCAGTGTACCAGTTTAGAGTTTTATCCTCTGTTTGTTATAGGTGCACCAGTTTGTGATTTTTCGTGGTATTAATCTAATTTAACAAAAACTAACAGAGGGTAAATTTATCACAAATATACCAGTTTGGGATTTTTGATAGTCAAAATATTAGTTCAGGATAAATTTATCACTTATGTACCAATTTGGGATTTTTTGTGATTTAACCCTATTTAAAATATTGATCTATTATACACACATGCACATGTACCCGTACAAATATCATACCCCTCTGTCCCTCTCTCCCCCATCTCTCTCTCTCAACCTGCACAACAAATGTCATGAAGTCAAAGAGATTGTGTGTGATCAAGACCACCGGTCCAAAACTTCTTCATCAACCCCTCTCTCTCAGCTATCTACCATTTTTGGTTAATTACATTTTTGAAGAAATGGCCATGTTGAAGAGATGGACGCGAAACCGCTTTCCACAATCACTCGCTCCCATTTGAGAAATTTCGCTGCGCTGGAAGCTTCACTCTTAAGTCTCTCTCTCAGTTCCCTAAACATCACACTTGAGACACAACCCTCTCCATAGCCTAAAAACTGACCTAAAATGAACCATTTGATTTGTAGTCGGGTGGCAAAGGAGATGCTGATGCGAAGACTAAATGCTGGAAGCCCACCGGGAAGTCTGCCCTTCCCGCGAGTCGCTAGGACTTGAAGGCTGCCAACTGCGGTGGCAAGAAGAATTTCCAAGGTGTGAACTAGAACCTGTTAGGGAGATGGACGGCAAGGGTCCGAGATTCGGAGCAACGTGTACGGCAGTGGCTGGGCATGTATGAAACGGCCAAGGAATTCGCAAGGGCGTACGACAAAGCAGCACGAGAGCTACACGGAACGGACGCGATCACCATATTGGGATCCTACTGCTAATAGGTTCGATTTCAGCCTTCTTTGCAAGTTGAATTAGCGTCTCATGAAACTTACGAGTGATTAATTGAGTGACCATATCATTCAATTCGATTTAATCTTGAATTAGTATTTCTTTGTTCGGTGACTAAGGGGAAACTTTTTTACCTTTAGAGAAAGAATCTTAGTGATGGAATTTTATTGTTATATGTAATCAAGCTATCTGTATTTTCCCCTAGAAATTCAAGTCTTGAGTGTTTCTTTTGAAGCCCAGTTCTAACATCTTTAATTTTCGTGAGTCAGTTTCTTTCTCATTGTGGTGATATATGAAATTTTCCTGTTTTGTTCATTTTATTTATGTATGCCGATTATTATTTCAAATTTTAATTTTCAAAAAACATCTCCCAATCTTCTCAGGACATCACCGCCAATCTTTATTTTATATATGTAATATGTTTGTCCAGGAATGCATATGAATATTGTATTGTCTATCAAGACATACATTCTGATTGCATCCGGGTGTATGAATTCTTTCAATTCATTAATTGTGACTGTACTAATCCACAGGGCTAGATGTAGAGCATACTGCTGTTTTCTTTAGAGAGCAGCTCTTGTTGCAGCTTCTGACTTCGTTGAAGCATGTTGTGAAGACAAAAAAGCATCGGCAATCTTTGCCAAGTTTAATCCTATAAAGTAGATGTTCTACTATCAATGGAATGGATCATCCTCCATTGGGCATTGTCATGTCATGGCTTGCGCACACAATCTTATCCTCCATCATTGTGCGAAATAAAAATCCTGAAGACACTTTTGGTGTTGAGGGGAATGATTAGTGAATAATGTATTATCATAAGTGATTGCCAGTTAATGAAACTAAGATAAGAGAAGAAGTGCGATAAACAGCATATTGTATGAGCCATCTAGTCCGAATACAAAACATATCTGCAAACAGAAAAGCATCAGAAAGATGAGATTGACTCTGATTCACTTTCTCTAGATCCAGACTCTGGGATTGCTTCTGGAAAATTGAACTTCTTGTCAACAAAAAAGATGTTAGCAATTTGCAGGACTACGCTTTGGACTGCAACTTGCATGATTTACATTATCATTCGGAAGATACTTTGTCAAAAGGCACTATGTGTACTCCCAGAAAACTACGACCTCAGAAGCTAAATTGCTACAACAGCTAAGCTTGACGTTCTCAAGTCTAAACTGAATTCAAAGGGAATAGTCACTGGTAATAATCTCTTGCAAGATTGGCATACAATGCACAAGACAATGGAAAAGGATGTCATGTGTGGGAGCATATTGGACAGATTTTCACTGCTGAGCGAAAACTGCTCCTTTCTTGAGGTAGCCGGCTTAAAAGCCTCATCCCTCCCTTATCAATACGACAAAATATCCACCAGCTTCTTCTGATCTGTTGTATGGTTTTGGCAATTGTAATTTCTAGAAAGAGAGGTCTATGCAGAGCTTACGAAGTGTAAGACAATCTTTAGGATCTTTAAGACCAGGTGACTTCATGCCAGATACTTGAAATTTAGCAGACAATTAAGCTGTGCAGGCCAAAGCTGGAAAGCTACAAGAAGTTAACTTTGGCACCTTTGGATAAGCTATGCTAGATATGTTGTGTAAAAACTACATAAACTAATCAGCTGAACATCTCTGTGTAACAGCATATGGAGTCACGTTTGGAAAAGCATCTGGGCTGTTGATTTGGAGAGTTCAGTAGAAACATCTTGATGAAACAGTAACTAAAAACCAGCTTATGCATTCACTGTTGAGGTGAGTGCAAAATATCTTGGCAAAAGTCAAATGTTACTAGGATCATTTAAAATTTGTGCCCAGACAGGATTACAAAAGTCAAATGTTGCCAATCTACAATAATCAACTTTACCCATTCAAAGATATTTCCACAGTGAAAACTCACACATGAAAATTAAAGACCGAGAACCGGACTTCAATAGAAGCGGTCACCAAGAATTGAATTTCTGAGGGAAAATAGAGATAGTTTGATTGCATACAATAGAATTCCTTCACTAATATCCTTTTCTAGAGGTCAAAAATTTTCCTGTTGGTCACCTAACAAAAACAATACTAATTCAAGGTTAAGTCTAATTCGCCTTGTGAAGAAGGCTAAAGTGGAACTTGCTAGCACTAGGATCCCAATATATCCCGATCTCATCACCAGCCGCCAACCCCCTCCGTTTCGCAAATTCCTTGATCCAACCGCCCTTGAAGACGTAGGACCCAGATGACGCCCAGAACACGAACACCAGTTGATGCTCTGAGCATGTGTCCGCGTCCCTCACGATGACATCGGCCCCCTTGCCGCTCTCAACTTGCCTCACTATCTCCTCGCTCATCCATCGGAGCAAGTGGCTCGTCACAAAGTCCCACCCGATCAAGAGCCTCGACAGGTGGCCGAGATCGCTCTGTGTAAGCTTCTTCTTGATCTTATAAGTGTCGTAGAGCAGCACCAATTCTGTGGAAACGCCATTGCGTCTTTCATCCTCTGTATCACATCCTGAGGCCTCTTTCTTCTCCTTTTGCGTTCTATTGTACTTTGGCTTCTTCTCAACAATTAAGGTTTCAGCCCCTGTAGGTGAGGCCACGGATTTTCGCTTCGGTTGGGCGGGAACGATTTCTTGACGAGGGCCACCGACTTCCTTCCTGTTCTGATCAGGAGTGAGGAGGAAGAATTCGCGACCCACCACCACTCCTGCAGATGAATTTCTCTGGCCCCTTCGTCGCCATTCTTCTCCTGATCGTGCAGATAAGAAACACACCATCAAGAGCCTGTCAACGGCGGCAAGCGGACCACGCCTCTCAGGTGGTCGCCAATGGGTTTCTCCTTGTGATCGCGTGGATGCGAAGAACCCATGAACGGCGGCGAGTGGACCTCGTCTCTCAGGACGTCGCCAATGGGAGGCGATTTGGGGCTGAAGAAATCGATGAGCTTCATGGGTTTTCGGTGGAAGAAACAGAGAAGGGCTACGCAAGAACAACAGAGGGCAACACGGTGCAGAGGAATTTAGAGAGCGAGCTAGAGAGAGAAGACAACAACGTTGGAGTGAAGAGAAAGAGGCGAGGACATAGACACCGTTGGAATTGAAATGGGGAGCGACGTCATCAATCTCCGCAGTCAAGTTTAGCGAGTGCCACCGAGGAGTGTGGAATTCTTTCCTAATTTGAGTCAGGTTAAGATTAGTGCATGTGAGGGATTAATAAAATAGGAAATATTTTCAAGATTCAAGATTGATTTTCCGACGGAAATTAATAATGTCACAAATTCTGTAATTATATAAATAATGAATTGGAGATAATTCCCAATTAGATTCCTATGCTATAGACGAGCTTCTTCTTTTCGTTAAATTATTTTTTTCGTGTAATAGGATGGAACTTTTTTTTTTTAAAGGCTGAAAATTAAAAGTTTCTTGATTTTTTTTAACAAAAGAAAAATTTCTAAATGTACATAATAATGACACGGTAGTTACATTAAAAAAAATAACACGTAATAAAGAAAAGAGACGAGGTCGGTATGGTATACTGTAAGCTTGTTCTACCTTCGCCTTCTTCTTCTTCTTATTCTTCTTCTTTTATCAATTTGTTCACATTTTTCGAGTGGGACAATGTCTTGTTTAGGTAAAATTATATGTTCCCCTCAAGGTTTTAGTTGAATTTTGTTGTAAGGATGATACCACCAAAAATCTTAAATTGTGCCCATCGTAACATTAATAATTAAGGCCTTTTTTTATCACAAAAATTTTTTAATCTCACCCTCTATGGCACTAATACCGAAAACCTGTTTGTGTCACAAAAATCCTTAAACCTATATCGGTATGACAAAAGCAAGTTTGGAGTATTAATGTCATGGTGGGTAAAATTTATGATTTTTGTGATAGTTGAGGGTACTTTTGTAAACTTGCACAAATTAGGGGTTTTAGTGATATAAAAGAAAAAATTTGAGATATCAGCATTACAGCGGGTATAATTTAGAATTTAGGAGGATATTTCCCTCTGTTTTATATTCTCCTCCAACTTCTCTTTATTTTATTTTCAAAAGTACGCTATTTTCCTCTCTCTTTTTCTTTCAAATTACAACATCTCTCTTTCCAATTTTCCTTCCTCTTCGAAAAAAACGACATATTCTTGTTCGCACTTTGTGGAAGAATGATGTTAAACTGAATGTTGAAGAGACTTGTTCCACGTTACATCCTTCTCTCTCTCTCTCTCTCTCTCTCTCTCTCTCTCTCTCTCTCTCTCTGCCTTCTCTTGGCAATTTGACTTTGACATCAAAAGGAACGTAAGAAGGCCCTCCATCCAATCCCCAGAACTTTAACTGGGGCTCTCCTCTTTGCAGTCGTTGTCTGCTGTAAAGCATTTCTCATGCAGTAGCAGTAGACTCTGCAAAACTTGACCGAGACTATCGTCAACCGATTTGGCAGATTAAGCAGGATTGTTCAAGATAAAAGAGGAGAAGAAATCGGTAAACGGTAACCATTCTCATGTCTTTCTTTTTTTTTTTTTTTGGTAAGTCATTCTCGTGACATCACTGCGAGATGAAAGAAAAGTCGAACTCACTAGGACTCCATATGCGGGATAAAAGAGGAAGTCGTTCATTTCGATTACTTCAGTGGTTGCATAATCTAACATTCAAGTCTTACAGTGAGAGGTTCTATCCATAAGGGGTAAATGGTAGGGTACAGATTAACTGCCTCAACTTGTAACGAGGATGAAAAATCAATGAAAGAATATCAAGTAATGTGGGATCATGGGCAGCCTTTAACCATTGTTCTACCCTTCCAAACAGCCACTAGCCACAGCTGACTAATAGCATCCGCTGATGTCGTCGCCCAGATTCTGAAACTATCCTCTTGTCTTGCGTGCTTTGGCTGCTCAATTACATTTCCAGAAGACGATACATTCGGTCCCTACTATCCCTGACTATATGCATTTCTTTGAGACACCCTCGCTGATGATGTCATACAAATGGCTCCAATCCAATGATCTAAATAATTCTTCTAAGGTTGAGCATAGTGCCATTTTCACTGCATTTTCATAACAAAAATTTACATGCTTCATGGCTTGGTTGGGGTGGAAAAACTGCAGTAATGGAAGGGTGCTTTCTTGTTGCACCAAATTCAAGCCTTGGCAGACTGGCATCTGAAATGAAACCACTTTCACTTGGAGAAACTGTCAGTAGCTGTATAGGAGTCAATCTCACATCTTTACTGCATATTGTTTGATTTCAAGAGCACCGCCTATACATAGGGGGCCCTGCGATGTAGAACAAGCTGTTCCCAATCTGATCTAATTCCGAACATGTTCTCCTCGAGCCATCCTCTATATATATTGGTATCTTGAGGCAAATTGAAAGCTCCCTTACCCATATCTCAGAAATTGCTGTTCCATCCTTACAGCAACTGCTTCAATGTCAGATTGTAAAAGGACCGAGAGATAAGCATCAATTGTTAGATGAAAGTCTGAAACATATTCGGATGCAAGAGATCGGGATTCTTTTAGCAATTAACACTACAGGAAAGAATAAACAATAAGTTCTTAGGCCGATTTCCTAGAAGATGGGATAGAATTATATACTTCTGACTTCTAATGAAAACATTATTGTCCCGACATGGGTGAACACTTCAAGAGCTTAACAGTGAAGCAGAACCTCCAGTTACCAAAGCAAGCAACTAGAGATCAATCTCGTGTCAATATCCCAAATTATATTTGGAGCAGTGCACATTGCACATCTTCAAATGGAGACGCTTTCAGTTTCAGATACGATGCAACAGCACTTTCCTTGGGCCATCCATTGCAAATGCCAATGCATCTTTTATTTAATGTCAAAGCTCCTATTTGAAAGATCATCAACGTCTGCGCCATTAACTATTTTTTATCAGCAGCAGTCGTTACCTTTCCATTAGGAATGAGCATATCGGCAACTGCTTCAACTATTGAGCTTTGAATCCTCCACCGATGTTCTGGTTTGTTAAAGTCAGGGTTTGGGCACTAGATAGAACAGAGGCATCGGACAGAACTCTCTATGTGCTGCACAATCCTTGTTATGCGCTTCTTATAGACATCGATTCAGGGCAAGTTAGCGTAATCTAGTGGTGCATGTCCCTCCATATTTGGACCTTTACAACATCCCACATAGTCATCACCACGCGATGCTTTTCAAAACGTAGCATAATATCGTTTTTCATGCTACTCTGCATCAGAATGTGAGCAACACGATCTTTTCTCTTCCACGCTTGATAAGCCTCTAAGTCATGCTTATGTTGTTCCGTGTTTCCCATTTCAGGCTCTTGAATTTCAGTAAATTTTACGATGCCAAACGTCATAATTCTGCTCATTCAGTTTGTCATCCTGATTGAGGTCGTCAATAATGCTCTTGGTAGGGCCGTCAAATGAGTGGATCGGCTCGGATTTGGACCGGGTCGAATATGATCCGACTCATATTGACTAATGTAACCCGTTTTGACCCATTTTCACGCAATGCAATTTTTATGATCCATACCCGACCGACCCGTACTTGACTCATACTCGACCTAACATGCATTACCAAAACACATTAATATTCTAGGAAAACCCGTACCCACCCATTTAACTTATTTTAAGCTTTTCACATGTATATGTTTTATGGATAAAAACTTCACATCATATTAAGCAATAAAAAATTAGTAAAAAAAATAAATAATGTAAAAGACCTATAAATTGAAATATGTTTTAATTTTTGGATAATGCAATCAATCATGCATCCAATGAAACATATGTTTTATTTTTGGATAAATCCGACGTGAAAATTATAATTATGCGTAAAAACCGATAAAGAGAAACAAAGTCAAAAATGAAAAGTTACAATGACATTTCTTTTTTTTTTCCTTAAAAAAAAGGAAAAACGGAATAAACGCAAAATGTTGTCGGTACACCTCCCTCTCTCTCTGTCTCATCTCTCTCTCCTCTGTATGCCTCTCGCTCACTCTCCTTCCATGTAAGTCTCCATCTTCAATCTTCTTCAGCTACTCTCTCTCTCTCTCTTCTTGTTCAAGGCAACAGTCAATGGCTCTCTCGGCGACGTCATTCCATTTCTAGATCCCGAAGCTCCTCTCTTCCTCACTCGAGTCCGGGTCTTTCGGGTCGCTCTGGTCACCCCCGATCCCGAATCACGTCCTCGCTCGGGTTGGGATCTCTTCGGCGGCGGCGGCCACTTCTTAACTCGCGGAAGCGTTGGAGCCCCACCGCGTCCTCGAGGAGGTTTCCACCGAGTCGGGCGGTCGTCGGCTCAGTCCGAGTCGACTCAGTCGTCGTCGTCGTCCTCGAAAGGCGACATCGTTGAGTCTCGCGGGGGCGGCGGCGGCGAGTGCAGCCAGCAGACGATCGGAGGCCGAGGGACGGAAGAAGCGGAGAGGGGGCGGCCAGATTCAAGGGCGAGAGAGAGGCGAGGAGCGGGGGTGCTGCTGCTTCGTCTGCAGAGAGGGGGAAAGAGAAAGAGAGTAGTTTGGGTTGAAAGTGGGTTTTTTTCTTAATCCGCTGAAAGCCCATATTTTTTGGCCTTTTTCTTTCTTTAGAACCCATTTTGACCCATATTATAAGTTTAAGCTGACCATTTATATAACCCATTTTCGCAAGTACGAGTTAAAATATGGATTTGTTACCCATTTTGACAGCCCTACCTCTTGGCAGCAGCCATATTGTCTCTAAAAAGGCACAATAGCACATAATTTTATATTAGCACAACATATTAAAAAAGTATTCCGCAGCAATTCCTTGAATTATTTGATATTAACGTTCATACATTACAGAATCGAAAGAAGCTTAATACACTTCAATCATCTCCCACAATACAGAGAACGACACAAATGGTCCATAAACTTTATTCCAACGTGTAATGCCATCCATAGACTTTCAATTTGTTCGATGTGGTCCATGAACTATTCGTAAATGTTCAATTTAATC